CCAGATTGTTGTGCGCAGTCTTTTTTTTTAAATAAAATGGATATTATCAGTATTTCATTACTGATGCGGATTAACTTTAACTTTTCAGCGGAGTCGTCTGAGTTATCAAGACCTGTGCTGAATGAGGCGAGGTTCCGTTTTGAAATGAATGAGGACAGAATGGCTACAGATCTTTTATCGGATGGGATACGCAGATTTGCTGCAGATGCAAGAGCTCTGGGGGCTCTGATAGATGAATTGTTATGAATGCGCATACTGGTCACTTTGTTTTGCCGTTTATTTTGAATTTTAAAGCCCTCGTGTTCCCGGGGCAAAATCGCCTGGAAGTTTTGATTTAGGATTTTCGCTTTCTTAAATTTTTCTATATCGCATCCTCACTGATTATTTCATCGTAGCGCATCGCACCTTTCCACATTTATTATAGCTGGACAATTTTTATTGCTGTGGGGCGGGAGCTTCGTCATGTTGTTGTGACCCCGATGTTCGTCCCTCTGTTTTTTCCTGCCAGAATTGGCGGTCCTATCAAATTTACTTTAGGCAAAACAATAAGGATGAAATACTTTTGCGGCCCATTCCCTCAACCATTTCACGTTTTCAGACATATTGTTGTTTTTTTTTTTTTGAAACAGTGGATGTTTAAAAGCTTTTTTTTACATATTTGCTATATTTCGCATTAATTTTCAGCGCATTTTACATCTCAGAGACTAATCGTAGGCATTTTTTTCACAGTAAAAACGATTTAAAGTTTTTTCATTAACTTTTATTAGCCACATATCACTATAATATCTTCCAGTTTCTTCAGTTCATTCCCTCCATTCATTTTTTTTTACGCCTATCAACTGCTGGCTTCAGCTTTTTGCCTAATATTTGTCCTATATTAGTTGCCATAAAGCCAGTGTCGGAGTGCCTTATGTTAACCGTAAGATTTTTCCTTATAATTTTTTATCATTTAGGTGTTTAGCTATTTGTGAATTTCGTTATCTTATGAAGGATTTATCTTTTAGATAAATCTGAAAAAAAAATTTTTTTTTTTTTGCGAGTCATGACCAAGTTAGAGTATCTTGCACAGCAGCAGAGCTTTATAAGCATGGACAATGCTCATGCCAGTATTCTTAAATTGCCGACAATGTATATTTTGTATTTTAGTACAGAGAGCTGGAGACCAGAGGGGGGGAGGGAGAGAGGGAAGAGGTACAGGAAGGTATAAATACTGATTTCAAAGTTATTTCGATGTCTTCTTGTTGGCG